CCCCATCCCAACCCCCTAACCTCACTCCCCAGCCCCTCTCCAATTAAGAAAATTGAAGGGGGTCACAACCAGTATTGGCATGAGTATATTAGGGGGTTTTTTTTATTCGAAGTGAGCAGTACAAAGAACCAGAGTATTCGAACGTTTCGTTGTAATAAAAAAGCAGAAGAATCTGTTTAGACGGAACCTCTTGACACTATGGATAATGTGTGGTCCAGACAATATAAGCCATTGACAACATGAGCATCGATCTACGCAACTGGGAACCGATGACATGTGTCAACCAAGTCAGCGAGCCTGACCACCCGATCCCGTTAGTCGCCTCTTGACGACAAGCATGGGTTACTGAAGACCAGTTCTAACCCAGATCTTCACGGGTGGCATAGAAGAAGCCATTGTTTCATGTTTTCATGAACGTGTCCCTGAGCTGTTGCAATGGAGTGATCAGCCTGAACCAGCGTACACGTATGTTTAGTGAAAGATGTCAATATCATTGTTATTTGTTTGTATAAAATGTTGAAAAATGCAACAAAATAAAAAACTATAAAAAAAATTAAAAAATAATAATAATAAAAAAATTATTTCCAGAGTAAAATCAAATGAAGGGGAAGAGATGTCGGTTTACAGAAATCAGTTCTGTTGATGAAGGTGAAACCCTGGATTGTGATCATGTCATTCAGAATGGAAAAAAGTGACATGAATGGATAAGCTTGGGTTCCTGAACCCGGAAATGGAAAAAAAAGCATTGCTTTTATGCCCAAGTTCAGATCCAAACAGTAGAGATATTTGCCGGTATAACCTAGCTCTGAAGATCAAATGGTGTCCTCTGAAATATGCTCTCGGGCATAGACTCTTTGGCAAACAAGTCCCTGGGGTGTTGCTGGAATCTTGCCAAAAGAGAGCGGCGTAGAACCCAACTCACTCACTCACCCAGTCCCTGAGACACAAAAGCCCCAACGGTAATATACTCGAATTGCTCAAATGGACAAGAAACAGCTTTGAAAACTAGGTACGTCAGGGTCAAGCGTATTCATGCCAATACGCTTAAAATAAAATTTCCAAATGTTAAACTTATTTAATTTTTCAAACGGGTTTAAACATTGCTGTTTCAATGATACATACCGCCATTTTTTTAATCAGAAAGTCATATGCCAGAGATAACAGATACGGTAAATTAAAACGCCAATCAACTTTCTACTTCCATAAAACATCTCTGCTAAATGCAGTGTCGATTGTTCAGTTCCGACCTTATCACGTGTTAATGAATCACTATCAAAGAGTACTGATAACACTCATTATCGAACCTTTAAAACCGATTCTAAAGCTGAGAACAACAGGTGCTGTTATAAACCGCTCTGCCTCTGGCGTGACCTTTCTGCGTTCAATGTGGACAAGAAAAAGATCAATACTCCAAGAAGTCACGCACAACAAGCCTCATGTAAAAGAAGCGTTTTAATAGGAGGATTCTTTCAAAGCATGAGAGAAACGAGTATTTACATTGCCTCTCATAATCACGTGTTAGTCATCGGTTGTTTATTCATATTAAGTGCTGAACAGCAGTTTCTATAAGTCTGATAAACTACTCTAATATTTGCGAACCGTCACCTATTGACCATCCACCCGGCCCTAGCTAGTTAGGCTCCTCTTATAAGCTCCTTTCTTTTGAAATATTCTGTTACTTTATTGCTACTAAATATTGTCTGATGTTCTATTGTAAATGTGTCAAAGTAAGATAATTAGGTTTTCTACATTTCAGTGTCGTTTCTGAAATGTTTCATTAATCGATGTGAAATGGAAGATACGGTACTATTTGCTTGGTTTTAATTTGCCCAATACTCCTTTCCACTGTAATGTCATTTCGTTTCACCTAATTGGTCAATTATACGAATTATAATTACGAATTAAATTTCGCATTGAATTAGATGTGCGTAATACGACCATGAATTTTCAAACATTCAAGCACTCCAGGAGGAACAAATATGAGTCTCCCAATGGCGATTGGAGAGAGTCTATCTCACTCTTCTTGCAGGGCCTGGCCAAGTTCAGCCATGGCGATGCCAGTGACGCGCAAGTATTCCTGTAATGTTCCTGGCGTTATCAGTGATGGGAATGCGGGAGCTCATTATTGCCCATGGCATTCGGTTGCTGTTCAGAATGAGCATTGACGATTTGTCCACGGTGAGCACGGGCGGTGTTGTCCTGAAGGTCAAAACGTCGTCCTACATGCCTTGCAATCAGCACAACCATTTTCATAGGTGACAGCATGAGCTTCACTAATCCTTCCTTGCATAGTAGTGCCATCATAACCGAACCAACACCAAATCTGCCATGTTGCAGGATGACACTGGCTTGACGTTCATGTTGACGTTGCCAGATACGACCACACATGTCAGTTAGTTGCAGAGATAATCAGGAATCATCTGAAGACATGACACGTGACCACTTACGATTTCCCAACTTTCGACGCTGTGTAAACTGACGGCTTTTGGCAATATGCCCGTTTGTTGGGAGGGGGCGGTGGGGTAGCCTACGGTTCGAATCCCCACATGGGTACAATGTGTGAAGCCCATTTCTGGTGTCCCCCTGTCGTGATAATGCTGGAGTATTGCTGAAAGCGGCGTAAACCTTACTTACCGTTTGCAAGGGACCGTAGTGTTACGACCTATCGCAACTCACTACTTCATCATAGGCTTACGAATGGCGTAGCGTTACGAACGCTTTGTGGACAGGGGCCAACGTTACAGTATAGGAGGTACCACTGCTACGAGAAAAGTTACGAGATCTTAGGTCTACGAGAGCTTTGTGAAACTAGGCCCTGACCCGTAACCCGTACTCGTTCCATTAGCCTGATGAAAGGTTTGTGTCAGTTTGGTTATGCCTGGTTTCGAGTCAATTAATTCTGTACTCTAGTAGCTAACCTGGGGCGACTTTGTGGTTTGTTAGTATTGATTTTCAGTAACCCATGCTTGTCGTAAAAGGCGACTAACGTGATCGGGTGGTCAGGCTCGCTGACTTGGTTGACACATGTCATCGTATCCCAGTTGCTTAGATCGATGCTCATGCTGCTGATCACTGGATTGTCTGGTCCAGACCGCCACCATATAGCTGGAATATTGCTGAGGGCAGCGTAAAACTGAACTCACTCACTCACTCATCTTTACTGACGCGTCACAACCAGGAACGACACCCCAGACACGTTAGATGTGTATATGGTGCTGGGTTTTTAAATAATGACATCAACGCTATTCCTTAGGATGATAGTCAACACTCTTGTCTTTCCATCAACATTCATACGGGGCGGTGGGGTAGTCTAGTGGTTAAAGCGTTGGCTCGTCGCGCCGAAGACCCGGGTTCGAATCCCCACATGGGTACAATGTGTGAAGCCCATTTCTGGTGTCCCCCGCCGTGATGTTGCTGGAATATTGCTAAAAGCGGCGTAAAACCAAACTCAGTCAGTCAGTCAGTCAACATTCATATTTAAAAATCCCTACCTTTTCCCAAAAAATATACATGCATCAAAAAAGCCCAGTTTCCATGAAAGTGTACTACTGTATGCTCAACGAACAGTGAAATGAAGACATAAGTGGTATGTTAAAAGGGTGGAGTAAACTAGTACACGAGAAAGGCCCTCTTGTACTATTGTACTATTGTACATTAGTGCCATTTGTACGGAACACTTGCGTTTCCGTTTTCAGTTGCTGCACTTGATCATATTGATTAGTCTCTCGTCTACAGCACACATGTCGATGATGGTATTGTTCAAATCTAAATAAAATACAAACATACTTTTTGATTGACAACCAGCGTTTGTTTATCGTCGAATGGCCTCTGTAAATACGACTCGTTTCCGGGTCAATTTCAGACAGCGTGGATCTACTTAGGGTCCGGTTTCAGTTAATGCCATCATTAACAGTCGTAATGGGAATACTTGTGTGCAGCACTCTATTACTCGGGTGAAATACTAGCGCTGAGTTCCTGTGTCTGAATTTAATGGATGGATAGTTGCACTGCAACAAAACTTTAATACTCAACCACCTTACAATAAGTGTTGTTATACTGGGTTGTCGCACTGTAGCTCACCTTCTTTACTTTTTAAAATTCTTTTTTATTATTTATTTTTATTTTATTTTATTTTTTTCATGAAAAAATAAAGTCTTTACCTGCTTTACTTAACCATCTACAATACATTTGCTGTAAAGTCTGGTAACAGATATTTCAAATGCACAATACAGCCAAACACTATTGTGTCGAAGTTGAAAGAACCAACGTAAATACTTCGAGTTATCCGAGATTCGACACAACGGCAAGATGATGACTAAATAAGGAGTACATACGAATCAAGTTACTTCTAAGATAATAGTACTCCGACACAGAAAGTTCGACACAATAGTGTTCGACTGTACATATTCCCATTGGCGGTGGGGAAGCCTAGTGGGTAAAGCGTTCGCTCGTCACGCCGAAGGCCCGGGTTCGATCCCCCACACGGGTACAATGTGTGAAGCCCATTTATGATGCTGGAATAGTGCTAAGAGTGGTGTAAAACCCGACCCACTCATTCAGTTATTTCAAAACTGATGTAACAGACTAACAGTTGTATCTAGGACTCTTTGATGTTGACATGTGTTTTTAATCGATGTTCGTATTTCAGAATAACATTGTTCAAAGCTAAAAGACGTGCAGTGTTAGTACATTTGTTAGGGTGCATTAAAAACTCTAAAAAGCAATCAAGCAGTTGATGGTAGTTGAGGAGATAATAGCTTCTGTATATACTGCTATCCTTCTATAACCTAAGATAAGAAAAGAAATGTGCTTTTTGTGAACAGGCTTAGGTAAGGCCTGATATCCCATGTTTATGTGTCATGGGAACAAGTGAACATGTCAATATGATTCTTGTCTGTCATCTTCATCCCGGAAGTCACGTGATGATACTCCCCAGAAAAAGTTGTTGAAGCTGTTAGCAACTTATTATGTATCGTCCATGTTTTGTTCACAGAAGAAAACAGACATGGTGAACTACGGGTGCAGTATTGTATTGCTCTCCGCCTGTACATTCTTGGCTCCATCTCCAGGACTCACACAGAAGACCTTCTATGGACAACTTGTGTCTGGGGTGTATATGAAGACTCAGGTCCCCAGCTCCTCCTTGTGTCAGTCTGTGTGCTGGTACTCCGTCTCCTGTAGGTCCTGTACCTGGGCTACAAGGACGGGCCTGTGTTCCCTCAGCAGTGAGACCAGGGACACCTCACCAGCCTCCTTCTCTGTCAGTCGACATCACGTCTACACAGAGACGACGGCGCCACAGGTATATTTTTGTTTATCACTGTTCATTGTTATTCTCTGAAGTCGTTTTTCTTGTTTCTATATGTACATGGCCCGGTGGGATAGCCTTGTGGGTAACACGTTGGCTCGTCACGCCGAAGACCCGAGTTTGATCCCCCAAAATGTGTCAAGACCATTTCTGGCGTCCTCGGTGTGATATTGCTTCAGTTTCCCCAGAAATTATTGAGAAAATCTGTCGTAACACTTTGGATGATCGATGCTTGTGCTTTTGATCACTGGGTTGTCTGGTCCAGACTCGATTATTTACAGACCGCCACCATATTAGCTGGAGTATTGCTGAGTGTGGCGTTAAACAACAAACAGTGGGCGGTGGGGTAGCCTAATGGTTAAAGCGTTGGCTCGTCACGCCGAAGACCCGGGTTCGAATCCCCACATGGGTACAATGTGTGAAGCCTATTTCTGGTGTCCCCCGCCGTGACGTTGCTGGAATATTGCTAAAAGCGGCGTAAAACCAAACTCAGTCAGTCAGTAAACAACAAACAAATGCAGTTGTCTGTAGAAGCGGCGTATAACTAAACTCACTCTCTCACTCTAGATGACAAAGCGGTTGGTAGCTTCGTGTTTAAAGCGTTTATCGTCACTTAAGAAGTTCCCAACAACCATTTACAGAGTATGTAGCGTTTCCTTGCTGTCCTTCTTGTGTAGATCGTTAAACAATTGTAGGAAACACAGAGACTCAGTCAAAATCAAATATCGGGAAAGATGTCAAGCCAAATAGCAAAATACAGAAAAAAAACTTAAACTTCCAATTGGAGATATGAGTGTTATTTCACCAGGTGTACATTAGTTGTAACACAAGGTCACCAGCTGACCCCCCTGTTGACCATTTATTGACCATTTGTTGACCACTAGTTGACCACTTCTTGACCGCTGCCTGTCCACCATTTCACAACTTGTTGATCACTAGTTAACAAACCTTCATGATGCTACTAGTTGACCACTGGCTGATACCTGCTGACCACGTGCTGGCCACTAGTTGACCACTGGCTGATACCTGCTTACCACGTGCTGGCCACTAGTTGACCACTTCTTGACCGCTGCCTGTCCACCAGCTCACCACTTGTTGATCACTAGTTAACAAACCTTCATGATGCCACTAGTTGACCACTAGTTGACCACTTGTTGACCATTTGTTGACCACTAGTTGACCACTTCTTGACCGCTGCCTGACCACCAGCTCACCACTTGTTGATCACTAGTTAACAAACCTTCATGATGCCACTAGTTGACCACTGGCTGATACCCGCTGACCACGTGCTGGCCACTAGTTGACCACTTGTTGGCCACTAGTTGACCACTTGTTGACCACTAGTTGACCACTGGCTCAGTTGACCACTGGCTGATACCTGCTGACCACGTGCTGGCCATGTTGACCACTAGTTGACCACTGGCTGATACCTGCTGACCACGTGCTGGCCCACTGGTTGACCACACGTGCTGACCACTGGTTGACCACTGGCTGATACCTGCTGACCACGTGCTGGCCACTAGTTGCTGATACCAGCTGACCACGCTACGACCACTAGTTGACCACTGGCTGATACCTGCTGACCACGTGCTGACCACTAGTTGACCACTGGCTGATACCTGCTGACCACGTGCTGACCACTAGTTGACCACTGGCTGATACCTGCTGACCACGTGCTGACCACTAGTTGACCACTGGCTGATACCTGCTGACCACGTGCTGACCACTAGTTGACCACTGGCTGATACCTGCTGACCACGTGCTGGCCACTAGTTGACCACTTGTTGACCATTTGTTGACCACTAGTTGACCACTAGTTGACCACTTGTTGACCACTAATTGACCACTTCTTGACCGCTACCTGTCCACCAGCTCACAACTTGTTGATCACTAGTTAACAAACCTTCATGATGCCACTAGTTGACCACTGGCTGATACCTGCTGACCACGTGCTGGCCACTAGTTGACCACTATTTGACCACTTGTTGATCATTAGTCAATAAGACATCATGATGTCACCAGTTGACAAAATTAACCTTGCCTTCATTCAAGGATCATATAACTGTGTTACTTTCTTGAAAGCTATTTTCTTTTCAAATATTGTTAACAGTTCATTGCGATATAAGTAAATTTCTCCAAACGTTTTCCATGATGTGATAAACTGACCATCATTACAAGACGTAGAAAAGGCAAAAGATTCTACTGGAATAATACCAAACCATACAGAGACTCATATTGAGACGTGCATGTGTATTCTCAAAACCGAATATTTAAAGATCACATAAACCCTAGGGGGTACAAATACATAAATCACTAACTGGCATCGTTATAAATGAAACCCCGTCATTAAAACTACTCATTTCGACCTTTAATTGACTTAAATCGACCTTTTTGACAACAGTGCACAATTCTCACCCGCGAACGAAATTTCAACCAATCAGAGCGGCGCGTCTCTGTGACGTCATATGAGGAATAGCTTTGAAGGCCGATGCAGAATTCATCTACATTTTAGGGGGTAAATTATCTTGTTTACAGGCTTGTATAAACCTGAAATCGTGACAATTGTTGTGGAAAATGAAAGCTATATGTTCTCACAATCTACTGTCATTTAATTCTGTCTCCTGCTTTGCCTAGTTTCCGAGTTAAAACTTGTTTTCATAGACGATTCTGTCAAAATCGATTGAAGTCGTTAGGCCCTATTTGTATAATGACTGATCTAAATTGATCCCATTTCTGTGTTTGTTTACCTCGATATTTAATCATGTCATGTAAAAATCTGTTTGTATTCTCAAAACAGTGTCGGCCCATAAGTTTTCACATGCAATACAGCAATTAATACTCCCTTGTTGTAACCCGTGTTAGGTGGTATAAACCTACACATGTTATTTGTCATCATTCACTTGATGGTCAGTTAATGAATTTATAACAGGTATAATTAGTGGTAACACACTTAGATTACCCGACAAAGGTTCCCATTTGGCATTTCTTGTGTCTGGAGTAAATATTCAACATTATAAACATCGATCAAAGGATTAACCGATAACACGCTGATTGATTAATTACTTTTATCTTACACAGCGGAATTGTCAAAAGGTAGTGAGTGTTTATGTGTGTAGATTTACTAATCTATACTGAATACACTCTGTCGTGTCGGTGTCTGCGTAAAAACAACGTCCTTCTTTCAAAGGATTAACCGGCAATACATTGATTGATTGCCCATTATTGGCTAACTAAATTACTATTTTTAAAGAAAGGCTGACATTATGCAATTAGTTGCCAGGTGTGCTATCTTGGGTGACCAATGAGACTATACACCAATACCTGAAAAGATTTATCACTTTTTCGTATATTAAACTGTTAAAAGACACATCATTTGGAACAGTTTTGTGGATATTGATGGATAGTATTACTTTCCTCGAACAAGGTAATGGCCTGATATTGTTCCTATAACTTTAATCTGTTTTAATTTTAATATTTGCATTTTGTTTTTATTCATTTGTCGTAGCATTCAACAGAATCATTGTTTTCGCCGTGAAGTGTAATGAGACAGACAACACTAGGGTGTGTGTGCGAATTATGATTCACATTGGCAAACTATAAAATGTCTAGATATTACAGTTCTGTTATAAATTCACTATAAGTATCAGCAGATCGTCTGCTTTGTATTTAGTTTCAAAATGCATACAAGTATGATAATAAACTAATTAGGATTATAAGACCAAATATAAAGACGCACATTGACTAGTATCTACATACTGGTGAGTGGACATTAACCATGTGAATGTAGCAAGAAATTTATCGCGCAGTATTGTGACTTCGACCCCCACCTCGCTTCCGTGGAAGAAATCGTTATGTTATAAGTTGTGTCATGCAAAATCCGTTTGGTTATGATTCCAATACATATTTAACTACGAGTAGAAAGTAGTTTTGATTTTCTAACTTGATGAAAACAAACTATAATCTCATTAATTCTAACAGACTTTACGATTTTCAAAATGGCGGCGATTCTGTCGGGAACATCCGCCAGTCTGAGGATAAATGCTATATAGGTTTGTTTTCACCGAGTTTAAAATCAAAACTACTTTTATTGGTAGTAAAATATGTATTTTATTGATGGCCAATGGGATTTTGCATGACATAGCGTATAACATAACAATTTCTCTCCTGGCAGCGAGGTGGGTGTCAATATAATACCACTTACAATATTATTGTTACTTCGACCACAACCTCACTTCCGAGGAAGAAATCGTTATGTTACAAGTTGTGTCATAGAAAATCTTTATGGTCATCAATCATATACATATTTTACTACAACTAGTAAGTAGTTTTGATTCTTTAACTTCCGTGAAGCGATCTGAACACAAGTAAGATATCGTTTCAGGCTTCCACAACGCTCGCTTCGCACTCACAAACATAACCCATTTAGCACGAACTGCGGGGTCCTGTGGAAATCTGTGCATGGTGACACCATCGCCCGACCCCTAGGAGCAATTGACGACAAAGCAACGATTCGGCATGTTGTCGTTGATGTCGAGAAATCATCAAAATGATGAGCGTGCTACACACTTTCTATACAACTAACTGAAAATCGTTCCTCATATGACGTCACTGCAGTGCTCTGGCGACAGAGTTACGTAACCTGTCTGTGGTTTCGTTGGCGGGCGAGAGAGAAGCAGGCGACTTTTTGGCCACTTTTAATCGCTCGGTATTAATTAACCACAAGTTTTTAAAGAATAAATTTGGTGTTCCGCATAAGACTAACTACAAATCTTTCATATGTAATGGTTAAAAGAGTAACAAAAAACAAAGTTTAGTGGTTCTTTAACGACCAAGAATACCCAGAGCAAGTATGTTCAAATTTTGCGGAATTGGACATCAACCACCATCCACTCGCAAATGACATGAACCGCCATCCACTCGCAAATGACATGAACCACCATCCACTCGCAAATGACATGAACCGCCATCCACTCGCAAATGACATCAACCACCATCCACTCGCAAATGACATCAACCGCCATCCACTCGCAAATGACATCAACCGCCATCCACTCGCAAATGACATGAACCACCATCCACTCGCAAATGACATCAACCACCTTCCACTCGCAAATGACATCAACCACCATCCACTCGCCATCCACTCGCAAATGACATCAACCACCATCCACTCGCGCAAATGACATCAACCACCATCCACTCGCAAATGACATCAACCACCATCCACTCGCAAATGACATCAACCACCTTCCACTCGCAAATGACATCAACCACCATCCACTCGCAAATGACATCAACCACCATCCACTCGCAAATGACATCAACCACCATCCACTCGCAAATGACATCAACCACCATCCACTCGCAAATGACATCAACCACCATCCACTCGCAAATGACATCCTGCATGTACAGTACACACACGTCTTCAGAGAAAAGAAAGTCTCCTTCATCAATGAAAAATATGCCTAAACGTCATACAATTATAAAGTCTGTTATTAGTGCACCTTCTTTGTATACGAAATTGAGTGTGCAGTTATTTTGAAAATATTTTTCACTTAAACATGATGAAACATAGTATGTTTAAAAAAGTCTTCTACATCAATGAAATATATACCTAAACGTCATTCAATTATACAGCCTGTGATATAGTGCACAATAGTGTATACGAAATTGTTGATGGTGTAGTGGTAAAAATGTTTTACTTACTATCTTTGTAAAAAAACCTCCTACATCAACGACTTATACCGAAACGGCGTCGAATTATAGTTTATGTAACAGTACGGCTAAAATGCATTCGAAATTGTTGACAGTACAGTTGCCATGGAAATTCTTTCTTCGCCTAAAATCGAAAAGTACTTTAAAAATGTACCTTTGGTTGTTGTCAGCTAACCGTGCATCACAGTTAAATTAATACTGTTTAATGAGCTTTCTATTTATTAGTCGTTGAAAATATTTTATTCATTAGTTATTGAAATATTTAAACGAGGTGTATGCTGTATACTAAACTGACGTACAAAAGTAAGTATACCCCTGATGCTTTGGTAAAATGTTTTCCTAAAAACAGCGTAATATTTAGAAAAGTGTTTTGATTGTGACTCACAATTCACAAACATTGTGTACGTGTTGCAATAACACCATATATATCGTACCCAATTGGAACATTGCTCGCAAAATATATACTTTTTAAAATAGTCTCAAAACAGCAGGTGTGTTCTTTCTTTGTACATCACTATATATTTTCTGTGTGTTTCAGAGTGTACAACATCCGTGTATCAGACGATCGTGTTCAGCTGAAGAGCTCTGCGTCCCAGTAGAGGCAGGGGGTGATTACATATGTCTAAAGAAGGGTGTGTAAAGTCAATGCCAGATAATAACCAGTCTCAATTAAACGTTAAACGGCAAAATAGCGGTTAACGGTGACTGGTTCTAGCATGGCGCTGAGATCATCACCTTGTGGAACGCGCCAACACTAGGTGTCTCTTTGTCCGATCTAATTTATGTCATCGGATCCCAATTTCGAAGATTGATGTTCATGCTGTTGATCATTGGATTGCCTGGCCCAGATTCGATTATTTACAGACCGCCGCTATCTAGCTGGAATATTGCTGAGTGCGGCGTTAAGCAACAAAAGGATCCGATCTAATAATAAATATGTTGTGTATGGAATTATTAATGAACTGTATTTCCGTGCAATATTAATATTATTTCCAATAAAGCACATTTTTCAGAAAGATTATAGGCACACTTGATATGCTTAGTTCAGTGGATGCTGTTGTTACCAAGAGCAGTGATGACTGGGTTAAGACAATACTTTGACTATCGCCTTTTTGTTAACAGACGTAACTGCCGATGTAACAACTCCTGCAGCTGCGTCTGATATTGATGTCACAGCCGCTCCATCATCAATATCAACATCTCCAGCATCAACTACAGGGACTACCTCAAGAGCAACGACGCCTAATATCACAACGTATGCTGTCACTACAACAACAGGTGGAACGACCAACACGGGTCCAACTGTCACTACAGTAACGAGTGGTTCGACCAACGCGGATCCAACTGTCACTACAGCAACGGGCGGTACGACCAACGCGGATCCAACTGTCACTACAGCAACGGGTGAGGTGACCAACGCGGATCTAACTGTCACTACAGCAACGGGTGAGGTGACCAACGCGGATCCAACTGTCACTACAGCAACGGGCAGTACGACCAACACGGGTCCAACTGTCACTACAGCAACGGGCGGTACGACCAACACGGATCTAACTGTCACTACAGCAACGGGCGAGGTGACCAACTCGGATCTAACTGTCACTACAGCAACGGGCGGTACGACCAACACGGATCCAACTGTCACTACAGCAATGGGTGAGGTGACCAACTCGGATCTAACTGTCACTACAGCAACGGGCGGTACGACCAACACGGATCCAACTGTCACTACAGCAACGGGCGGTACGACCAACACGGATCTAACTGTCACTACAGCAACGGGCGAGGTGACCAACTCGGATCTAACTGTCACTACAGCAACGGGCGGTACGACCAACACGGATCCAACTGTCACTACAGCAATGGGTGAGGTGACCAACACGGATCTAACTGTCACTACAGCAACGGGCGGTAGGACCAACACGGATCCAACTGTCACTACAGCAATGGGTGAGGTGACCAACGCGGATCTAACTGTCACTACAGCAACGGGTGGTACGACCAACACGGATCCAACTGTCACTACAGCAACGGGCGGTACGACCAACACGGATCCAACTGTCACTACAGCAACGGGTGGTACGACCAACGCGGATCCAACTGTCACTACAACAACGGGTGGTACGACCAACACGTCTGCAACTATCTATACTATACAGTTGTAGCGAGAGTAGGGCCGGCTGGGTAACCTAGTGGTTAAAGCGTTCGCTCGACACGCCGAACACCCTGGTTCGATTCCCCACATGGGTACAATGTGTGAAGTCCATTTCTGGTGTCCCCCGCCGTGATATTGCTGGAATATTGTTAAAAGCGGCGTAAAACTAAACTCACTCACTCACTGTAGCGACAGTTACTATCTCTGTTTGTTTGTGTGTTGCTTAAAGCCGCACTCAGCAATATTCAGGCTACATGGCGACGGTCTATAAATAATTTAAATCTCAGTCAGACAATCCAGTGATCAACATCATGAGCATCGATCTACGAGATACATAGAGAATACTAAACGATGTCCCGTGTAATACCATATCTATGAAACGAGTGAATGGTTTGGAATCTAACGACCAAACGCTCGTAAGATACCAATACCATTCACGAGTTTCATAAATATGGTATTACACGGGACATAGTTTAGTATTTTATTTATTACTCACCCAACATTAGCAAAATAATATCGAGCAAAGTACTTCTTTCCAAAGAATTCAACGAGTGTGATGACTCTTAACTTTCCGCGAGTCAAGCAAGGTCTAATACTATTGTGACAGAGGTATTAGCATTGTGACGTCATAACTGTAAACCAGTTTTACGTCATACGTACGGCACCACGTGATTATATTACACAATGTGTAATAACATTGTAAAATTATTAAACAGTGATATCTTCAACGGGTGAGTAATAAAATGACATGACATCTGATCGTGCGATCCCGTTAATCGCCTCTTACGACAAGTATTTGTTTCGGAAAGCCAATTCTAACAGTGTAGCGACACCGGGTACAATTGTCTCAAATGGTAAAGTAATCAATACCATAGCCAACGACCAGTTTAGGTGCGGGAAATTATTCTGTTTTTCAATGCAGACAATTCTAGGCTATAGTCCGTATAGTCCAGCAAGTGGTCCCCCCTCGTAAGAAACAGCGAAAAGTGACAACAAAATAATGATCGTTTGTTGAACAACTTTTTTATTCGGGTTTCCAAAATTATGAGACAAATCATCAGAGTTGGTCTTTCGATTTTATGTGACTGTGCAAAGTTTGATTTTGTTGCATGTATTGGATTTTGTGTTAGTGAGAATTCATCTGTCTCAAATGGGGTCACACGGACTATAATTGTAGATCAAATCTATGTACAACCATAAACCTGTTTATGAAAGTCTGATACATTTGCTGCTGAATTCATGATATAATTCTCACTTGCTTTTTAGGTGCTTGCGTCACCGACTGTCAGGGACGAGTAGGATTCTATCACTCCTGTGGTACCTGCCAGGTGTTTTTTATTTGCTCATGGAATAATTATAAAGTAAGGTCCTGTCCCGATGGTTTGGAATGGAATAATATCAACCAGACCTGTGCTCCTGGACCTTCACCTACTTGCCCTTAGCTCGGACCATGCGACAAATAGAATAAACTTGTACAGTGGAAGCTGTCTAAACCGGCACTCGTCGGGACTGAAGAAACCATCCGGTTTAGAAAAAGCGTACCGGATTGTAGAGATGGCATGGTTACCTACGCCTAGAACTGAACCAGGAGATACATTTTGTATCTGACTTTAAATGCCTGAATCATACCTTGGTAAAGAGGTTGTAACACCCATCCGGTTTACACAGCGAACCGGATTGTAGAGATGGCATGGTTACCTACGATTAGAACTGAACCAGGAGATACAATTTGTATCTGACTTTAAATGCCTGAATCATACCTTGGTCAAGAGGTTGTAACATGGAAGTGGTAGTTGCAGGCTAAAACTTGAGGCAACATTGCTGACAATACATGCCATGCTCCGGATTAGACAGCGCTGATTACTGTATAAACACATTGGGCGGCTCATTTCGTGCCGAGATCCGGAATTGACAGCTGTCGGATTGAAGCGCTGTTAAATGATGATAAATGTACTAGCTACGGACGGAACTGACACTGATGCCGGTGTTGACAATTTGCCGGATTGGACAGCTTCCACTGTACGTTTCAAAATCAGAACGATTTTGTTACGGTTTTCAATACAGGTCGTAAATTACAGTTAGTATTGGCAGTTCATAGCTCAACTATTTCGTAGAATTACATGTATTTCAAACATTAACAATTCTCGTTTGTGGTTTAAACATATTTTTAATCATGAAAATGAATTGGGATTGATGAACAAGCTTTACAGCTTATGTTAACACCGCTCCCATACAACATATAAAATGAAACGAATGATGTGACGTCATCGATTTTAATTCTTGTTATGAGGATGTGTTTTTGTTAATTACAATGTCGCGTTGATTAAATTTTAGTTATGTTGGGTCACAAAAGTTTAAAACGCTGAGTGTGGATTTGAACTCTCATCTTGAACTTGGGCTGTGTAATTTCACCTGTTGAGTGAGTAAGCTGAGGAGTTAGAGTTACCTCCTCTTCGTTGCTTCCGGCTACTAGTAATTTCTACATGGCGTGTGATATAATGGTCGTAATGGGGCGTGGCTTCTGTTTGGATTCTCTGGAACTGTATAATAGGTATATAAAGGATTGTTGCTGAGGGGTGGGGGTGGGGACTACTACTTCATTGGATTTAAGCTCATCTGTATGCTAACGATAGTAACATCGCAGTCTCAAGTCCAACCGACCAAGGACATTGAGCTTTCAGTTGCTGTCAACAATTGTCAGTTAGTACATCTGTCTGTATCGGAAATATCAATTCTTGGATGAGTTAAGATATTTTTAGACTAGTGGCCCAATATTTTAGATATGTGTGTGTGTGTGTGTGGGGGGCGTTAGTGAAGTTGATGAATAAATAGGATATTATTACAATAGGACTTTTATTTCGAGGACTCTTTTCCCTGCAATCGGGTGCGCACCCCTGCAACCCCTCTGGATCCGCCTATGGAGTGGAATAATGACACTGTCGAACATATTTCTTTTTTTTTTATGATCTAAAAAAAGAGAGGTAAAACCTGTTGTTTGATCACTTTATGGAAGTTCAATAAGAACTGGACTTTTAAACTACAAATAAAGTAAACGTTGGACCACATTTGCGTCATTACATATATATATTTTATGAAGCATGGGAAATGAAATTATGAAAAATATCGGTCTCCTGGGAAATGAATTAAAAGCGGCATGAACCTGCAAGTTGTGGCAATGGTTATAAATGCTGTTGCAATGGTTATAAATGTTGTGGCAATGGTTATAAATGCTGTGGCAATGGCTATAAATGTTGTGGCAATGGTTATAAATGTTGCAATGGTTATAAATGTGGCAATGGCTATAAATGTTGTGGCAATGGCTATAAATGTTGTGGCAATGGTTATAAATGCTGTGGCAATGGCTATAAATGTTGTGGCAATGGCTATAAATATTGTGGCAATGCCTATACATGTTCAAATGTCGGTTAACTCTTTGCCATATGTTTGTCAACTTATCAGAAGTGGGACTGAGGGAGTAAGTATGGTTTTATGCCGCTTTTAGTAATATTCCAGCAATATCACGGCGGGGGTACACCAGAAATGACAATATATTAAATATAGGCCAAAATGTTGTAGAAAATGTGTGGCATTGTGCCTTTAATCCCTATTATAGCTAAAATACATGGAATTATCATGAAACGGCCCTCCTATTATAAGAAATATGCGGGCCGCTGCAAATGATATTGAACCGCTCAACCTCAACGACGGGCCACTATCAGTTCTGTTGTCAAGTGACGTCACAGTGGGTGTGTGGGCTTACGGTTCATTCGACATTGGCTTTGGACTGGCAGATATTCTCGGGCAAACAAGTCAAAGCAACCCGAATTCCCGCTTTAAATAGCGGTAATATTGGCTTTCTTGCTGGTGCTGACCTTAACAATTGCACTATTAACGTTGTTGTTGGACCAAAACCGAACACTGACATAGTTTGACATGTCAGAAGTTGGTTTTGAGTAAACTTACAGTCAAATTGTTTCCTTTTTCTTTTCAACACAAATTCCGTGTATTTTAGCAATAATGACGGTAATAACTTCGTCGGGCAGTTAATGGAAGACCGCGGGCTTCTGCAAATGATAATGCCCTCAAAAATAGCATTACCCTTATACTAGCTATTCTACTTCTCACCACTCGGTTGTAGTCACTTTTAGGCGGTGGGGTAGCCTTATGGTTAAAGCGTTCTCTCGTCAGACTGAAGACCCGGGTTCGATTCTCCACATGGGTACAATGTTTGAAGCCCATTTCTGGTGTCCCCCGCTATGATATTGCTGGAATATTGCTAAAAGCGGCGTAAACTTAAACTCACTCACTCTTATCTTTATAACGTGGAAGAATAAACAAGAAGTTATCATCCATAAAATTGTATGCTTCATTATTGACTCACCAAGTTTTAGAATGCCAATCGCACAACTCTCGAAACGCGAAATACTTGGATTTAATGCATGGAACCTTGGTGTCATACAAAGTAAGCTACGGTTAAAACGAACTGAAAGCGATACTAATATTAGTTCGTTCCCATTGTTTATACATATCTGTATCTTCCTCTGTGGCTTCATGTACATACTATATATACCTCTGTTACTATTGACTGTCATTCACCTGATGAAGGGGCAAGTCTTAGCCCAGAAACGTCTTGTGTAAATAACAAAGAAGTTGCACATCTATATCAAATGTATTGTATTACTCTACCAACTTCTAAATTCCTATCAAACATCTGATATCTGTTAAACTCTATGTATTAGCCCTTATAATAAACTATTGCGTACGTAAATATTGTGATATAAACGTGAGCATGGGTTAAGCACCCGTGTGTATCCTGGTGGTCTGTCTCACAGTCCCTGAACCGAATTATTTTCCACCCCGCCCTGCCTGCAGTGCTAGGGCCCTAAATGAATCTCCCATCTCACTGGAACTCTTTTTTAATTAAAAGGAATTTATGTATTTCTATCAATATCATATACTAGTTTATATTCAGATTAAATACAAAATCTGCCATTTGAGGCAGCATTCAAGCTGTTTGATGGCAAGATTAAGCCTATACTTTTATATGGGGCTGAGCTTTGGGGATGGGAAAAACGTAAACAAATTGAAAAGATGCATTCAAGTTTATGTAAATATGCATTACAGATTGGTTCTAGGGCATCAAGTAAAGCCGCACTAGCAGAAAACGGTCGTTATCCTATTGAAATATATACCTATATTAGCCTTCTGTCGTTTTGGATGAGGATTTTACGGCAACCGCCATACAGATATACAAAGAAATGTTATTTATTACCTACGAGGGCGAACATATCGGGTTCATATTTTCATACGATGCCCTAGGGCAAAATATCACTTTGTCATGGTGACGTGACGTCACGAACAATGCTAAGACGTCAGCGTTTTACATGCGGCGACGGCGGGTAGCCAGACTATGTTTGAAAGTAGACTTGGGTTTATTTTCCTTAATTTGACGACTTCGGTAATAAAGAGAATATTATATTCGTGCCCATATAATACTATGTGCCTCGCTCTCGCTCGGGAAATACCAACATTTAGGCACTCGTGTCGTAAACATAGTATGACATGGGCACTCATATAATATCCTCTATGTAATGTTAAAAAGACTGGGAATAAAAAGTGAGAATGTTATTATTTAGATACGGTTTCGGCTATGTATGAATAGCACAAGATGTTGGTAACGAGAAATGTTTTTTGGAGATTTTTAAACAGCGTTGCAAAGACATATTTTATCAAGAGTGGCATCAATATATAGCTTTTTCAGAATCCTTGACGTTCTATTCAACCATAAAGACTGACTATTTTCTTGAAAAATATCTTGTAACTATTACTTCAAAAGATTTACGGAGATGTTTGACAAAACTAAGTTGCAATGTACATGATTTTAATGTTAATTCGTATAGATACTCAAAAACTATGAAACTGCGTTTTGTAGTTCCTGTGTGACTGAACTAGAAGATGAATTCCATGTTACATCAGTATATCCTCTTTACAATGAGTATCGTGTTAGATATTTACCTGAATACTGTCGTAATTACCCTCATGTCCAAATGTTTATTGAATTGATGAGAACAAGCGATAAGAATAGACTATTAAGACTTTGTATCTTTCTTAAAACCGTGTTTGTTCTTCGCTCGAAACAAAAATCCCTGAGCACATAATCGTATCAATTGTAATAAGCTCTACATTCTCAGTGTGGCTCACATGTATGTCTTTACCTTACTGTTTTACACATGTTGTACTGTTGGCCTCGTGGCCATATATACGTAATAAAGGATGATGATATATATTCAGAGACTAAGTCTAGTGTTTTGCTTGTGCAGGATATTTTATTCTTTGTGTTCTTGTGGATCAGCTTTCTAATTAGATGACTGACTAGTTTAAATTACTTGTCGGACAATTGACCCTATAGTGATCAGAAATCTCTCTATCAGATGTCAACTGGTCTCGAATATAATATTCTGTTTATTACCGAAGTCGTCAAATTGAGGAAAATAAACCCAAATCTACTTTCAAACATAGTCTGGCTACCCGCTGTCGCCGCATGTAGAACGCAACGTCATGGAAGAAACATGACGTCTTAGCATTGTTCGTGACGTCACGTCACCATGACAAAGTGATATTTTGCTCTAGGGCATCGTATGAAAAATATGAACCCCGATATGTTCGCCCTCGTAGGTGAGGTGAGGTGAGGTGAGGTGAGGT